TGTGTTTTTTTATTGACATGGCAGTCCCTGTTGATTGTAATGTGTCTTTGAAGATCTTCAAAAAGCTGTCAAAATACAAGGAACTTAAAGTGGAAATCTCAAACATGTGGTGTGTGGGGACATCAATAATTCCAGTTGTAGTTTGAGCCATCGGATTGATTGGAAAAGGTTCTGGTGGACACATTGAAGGGATTTCTAATAGTCCATGCCTTAAAGAAATACAAAAAAAAATTGTACAGCTCACAAATTACGAAGAGCTTTATCTATATAAAATGTGCGTGATATTAGGGTTTGTTTGTTTGGTTTTTTTTTATAAAAATGATACGTGGAAAATATCATGTAGGCATTTCTGACCTTTCTGATTGGGACTTGGATTAAAATTTGTATACATTAGAAATAAAAGGAAATAATAATAATAATAATAATAATTAATGAGAAGACGAAGAGGAGGAGGAACAAGAAGAAATAAAATGAGGAAAAAGGAGCCAATAATAATAATAATAATACCCACGATTGCTTACGTTCATATTATTTGTAATTGCGATGTTATAGTTGAACGTGGCCAATGGGACAAATCAGTAGTGTATATCTATCGGACAATTTGAAAGCACTAAAACATCAAAGTCAAAGACAAATTATCTGAACATGAGCCATCAACTGCAACAGAAAATGAAGAAGATAATATTCTCTGGAATACGTCAATCCAAACTGATAAAGAAATGAAGAGCTTATATTATTAGGGAAGGAGATAAAATAAAGAAGGTGTCTGGGCATCGGTATGCCTGTCTCCACCTCATGAAATACCCCCCTTGATAACTATAGAAAAAAATCTCTAAATACAAAAATCTACAAATCGAAATTGAGAGGATGTGAAGCATGAATGTCACCAGAAAACCAATAGTAACAGATGTTTTTGGTTTGGTCAAGAAAGGAATGGAAACTAGGTCAATAAAATCGCCGGCAGCATCAAGACACAAGACGGCCAGAAGATCGTCTACCTTCGGCATTGCTTTCATATTAAGGTGAACTCTAGCCATCAATTAAGTCCATTATGCCCTCATGATAGCTCCAAGTCCAAGGTATGGAAGTGGCTCTATGAGTAAACAAAGCACAAAGAGCCAAGAGAATAAATCTTTAATCGCATACTTGATAGAATAGGGAGTGGTAAGAATGAAAAAAAATAATACTCATCTACTCATCGAGATATTTGTCCCCACCGAAAAAAACCCTCCTGAAAACTACCTCCTGAATTTAAAAATCTAGAAACAGAAATTGAGAAAATGGAGTCCACAGAATACCAGTGATAATGTACATTCGGTCTGGACAAGAAAGGGGACGGACAAATACCCGTCGCAAGATTGAGACTAGTTTTGAAGAACATGATCCTCGTCTCAGATCAGATATGGAATGAAAACTTTAAAATGCCTTCCCATATATAAGGGGTTATAATTTATTTGTTAAAAATATGACAACATAAGTAAATATAAATATCTTGAAATTAAAAATGAAAAGAATGATTTGTTTTTTACGGTTTATCAACCTTTTACAGGTTATTTAAAGTCAGAAAATATTTTTAGATAACCAGAATTTTGGGGGTGTGCGGTAGATAATAATAATTTACTCTCACAAGTCCTACTGATTAACCTATAGCGAAGCGGAGAACAGGTTGATACCTTTCTAAGTCTTATGTATTGACTCGGCTCTATGAGTGGAAAAAGCAGGACATGAAGAAAAACTAGTAATTATAATAATGACTTTACCATTCATACAGACAGACAAAGTTAAGCTAAGAGACCACGCATCTTGATTAAAGACAACAAACAAAAAGAAAGAACGACAGAAAACTTTCTCATATATATGGCAGTTCTGTAATTATTTTTGCTTGGATAATGAAGTAGATTGTGCGTTACTAATGATGCTAACACGAAACTTAAATTGTCATTATGTAACATTTTATTCACTCCAGTATTTCGTCACTTACTCTCAGCCAGTCTGTTGTATGTGAGAAGCCTAGGACGCCACTCGTCCTACACGTGGACCTTACATTGTCCCTCTGCAATGTAAGGGAGACTGCCCACAGCAGCTGAACGAGTGATGTGTTTTCTTTAAATAGATAATTCGAACCGTGCTCTGTCAGGGTGGTCTCCGTAGTCAAACTGGTTGCGAAACACTTTGGATAAAAAAGCGGTTTCCATTGTGGAAAAAAGACTACAGGTTCGATTCCTGTCGGAGGCACATTTTTTTTTCTTTTGTAGGAGTTCTCAATCTCGGTCGGTTGTTACAAATTTCCCTGTTTATGAAAAAAACAAAAAAAAAACAACAAAAGACAAGTTATAGCAATTCAAAAATGTGTACCCCTCCCCCAAAAAAATGTTTACTGTAATAAGAAATATCTACCTATCCAAAGTACTTTGTAGTCACGCTAGCTATACCGGGCGCAGGTGCGAGATCGAGTACCGTATTTGCCGGCCTCTTGAACGCGGTTTTTGTTTCACCAAAAAATGACCCTGCGTCCAATACAGCAGCATCATGTATGAGAGGGACATGAAGACCATGAAAAACAATGGGGTTCACCAGGAATCGGTGCATGCATAGAACTTAACTCTGAAACTAGGACGCTTGGAAGTGGACAAACATCATAACAGTCAAAATATCCCTGAAAAATTCACCCCAAAAAAAGAAATTAAGAAATTTATAGAATATTTTGATGCTTGTTTTGTAGAAATACCAGATTTTACAGAAATATTTGCTTTGATTCGTATATTGCTGCTTGCTTTGTGTGTATATTTGTTGATATACAGAGATTGGAATTTGGTTTTCTGCATTTATGGTAAGGGATTTTATTTACCCAAAATGTACCATATTTCTGGGGTTTTTTTCCGCTTATTATCATATATACTAGTGTTTACTGATACCAGTAGATTTCTTTGTAGCTATTATGAATTTACTGTATGTGCAGATGTTTCTCCTTGAAAAACAACTAAAACAATTTTCAATAAATGCTTGATGAAATGCCCTAAAATTCTTCATTTCCCAAAAAATGCACTGGTAGTTTAACCTTAGCTCACTTCTATTATAAAAAAGTACCACTAGTATAATTTATGCTAATACTGTAAGTTTTTCTTTATAGTTAGTGAGAATGTCACATAAAGGTATGGTTATAATTTTGAGGTTTCTTTTTTTTTGGGGGGGTGATGTTTTTTCGTAAATATTCCATGCCAACATTTGGGTGGGTCCGATCGTGACCACCGATATGAAAGAATTTAGGTCGAAAATTTCTTTAAAGTTTATTTCTTAAAAAAATGAGTTTTTAGATTTTAAAAGCAACACGTACGAGAATGAATGTCTCTAAACATTCTCGCTAGATTTATGTCTTATTAAAACTTTATTTTATGAATTACAAAGACATGGTATTATTAATTTTATCATTAAAGTTTCAATAAAATTTACTTATTTTTTAATACAAAAAATACTCACTCTGCTGAATTTAGTTGGTACTGAAAAATGATCTCTTCTGATTGTACGAATCCAAACATCAGATAATTTTTTATCTTTAGGAAAAAGAAAAATACATGTACTTTAGGGCCGTTTTATAATTCCTTTTGCAATTTGGTACAACGCATCTATAAGACATTGTTTTTGTTTAAATTAATTCAATATTTAAAAGAAAGTATTAATAAACAATTTAAAAATGCCGCCGTAAAAAATTTGATACAAAAAACAAACGACACGCTTCTTGAAAGTCGGACTCAATATGATGACGTCACATTTCTCCTTAACCCAATCAAACAGGCCTTCTATATCGGTGGTCACGGTCCAATGCGGTAAATAGACCGGCAAGTACGGTACTTCTGACATTCGGTGATCAGGAGTAACTCTATATCAACCCTACACCTGGCTTTCTTTGATGGTTTCGTGTGAAATTAGACACAACTTAAATAGGCTGGTCCACTAGTAAAAAATAGGGGAAATCTTTTTTTTTTTCGGGCAATAATTTTTGCAGATTTCTTGAAGCACGGTAACTGTTAGAATCGAAAAATACTGAATTTTTATCGATTTAAAAGTAGTGGATTTTGCTCATAATATCGATGCAGTGTAAAATCGATCACTTACTTTTTAAAGAGTTATTGAACCTAGTTGTTATTTACAAATTGATATCTGAATATTGCTTCTTTTTATTTATAACTTTCAGAATTTCTTAAATTCTTTAAAAAGTCATTTTTCTTTAACTTTTAACTTTTTTCGAAGCACGTGCACAAACATTTGGGGTTAATAATTATTTATCTAAGACGGGGAATAAACGGATATGTACTTTCATTAATTTGTAGCGAGAGTCAAAAAGTTAGCTTCCATTGACACCCCCACCAAATAGCAATAACAATTAATTATAAATATTCACGATGATAGAAACAGTCACGTTATCGGACGAGACCCGGGCGGGAAAGTCAATCTTCCTCTTTTTGCTCCTTGAAGTTGCAATAACAAGACACACAATTTCGGGTTCATAACAATAAGTACAAAATTTATATTATTTTGGTACCCAGTCTTTTGCAAGTAGATATATGCAAACCTTGTATTAAGAATTTCGAATATAAATATATATATATATATATACAAGTGTTTTTATACGAAGACTTTTGTGTTTTGTTTGAACTTTTCATATATTTATGTTGTCCTATGTTTCATAGACCTTACACGAGGTCTATGTGACATATTCTCGCACAACAGATTCATGTAAATTTTCGTTCTTTAATTTAAAATGTGTATATCTGTTTGTTCTTTATTTAAAAGAAATGTTTTTGTAAAAAAATGTCTGTTTTCGTACGCAGAACAGCTAAGTTCATATATATAAAAAGTCAAGGATTGATTTTATACCGTATCGATATTATGAGCTGAACCTAATTCTAAATTGATAAAAAATCAATATTTTTTTTATTCTGCCAAATGTTGGAAGGTTTAATGAATGCCAATCTATACAATTTTTTTTTTTTATTTCCAGCCTATTGAAGTAGTGTATAGGTTTTGAGTAGAGTGTCTCGTCCGGCATTTATACCACCACAGAAATCTGGAGGTTGGCCAATAGTATAAGGGATGGCCTCGGCCCTGTGAGTGAATAAATTGAAGTTAAGGGAAAAGTCCTCAACTAATAATACAAAGTATAAAATGAATAAAAGGCAGAAACTAAGGAAGGTAAAGAAGAATGAAGAATAATCAACAAAAATGAAAGAGATTGAGGACAACGGAAGAAGAAGAAAACGAAGAAGGTGGAGGAGGAGGATGAGAAATAAAAATAAAAAGATGTCTACCAATAATAATAATAATAATAAATAGAAGAAAACAGAACAAATAAAAAAATGAATACTACTATTACTACTACTACTAATACTAATAATAAGAAGAAATAAAAATAAGAAATTATTACTATTATTACTACCATCACTATTACTACTACTACTAAGAAGAAGAAGAAGAAAAAGAAAAAAAGAAGAAATAAAAATATGGGAATAAATACGACTACTACGAATAATAAGATATAAAAATAAAAAATACTGATACTATTACTACTTCTACTACTACGAATAATAATAATAATAAGAAGAAGAAGAAGAAGAAGAAGAAGAAAAGTAAGAAGAAGAAAGAAGAAGAAGAAGAAAGAAAAAGAAAAGAAGAAACAAAAATAAGGAAATGAATGCTACTACTGCTACTACTAATAATAATAAGAAGAAGAAGAAAAAGAAGAAAGAAAGAAAAAGAAAAGAATAAACAAAAATAAGGAAATGAATGCTACTACTGCTACTACTACTAATAATAAGAAGAAGAAGAAGAAGAAAGAAAAAGAAAAGAATAAACAAAAATAAGGAACTGAATGCTACTACTGCTACTACTACTACTACTACTAATAATAATAATATTAAGAAGAAGAAGAAGAAAGAAAGAAAGAAAAGTAGAAACAAAAACAAGGAAATGAATGCTACTACTACTACTACTACTACTACTACTACTATAATAATAATAATAATAAGAAGAAGAAGAAGAAGAAGAAGAAGAAGAAGAAGAAAGAAAGAAAGAAAGAAAGAAAGAAAGAAAGAAAGAAAGAAAGAAAGAAAGGAAAAGAAACAAAAATAAGGAAATGAATACTAGTACTATTACTACTGCGGATTACCCCCAACGTACTTTAGATCCGGGCAGACATCGTCTTGAAATTTCGCCAGATCTTCATTTAGCTTAAACATTTTTTTAAGGTCAGCTATTCCGTTTTAAACCCATTTCACACCACGTCAACGCAGACTCCATCTATATTTTATTTTACTTTATTAAACACGAGAGTCGACCACACAGCATCGTAAGCAAGTGTTGTGCTGGCTGTAATGATATCGTTCTTACAAACATCACGTAGATTCTGAATGTTTACTAATATCAGTTTAATTATGGCACAAGATCACAATGAAGCGAATTAGGGGAGGAAAATTGTGTTGTCACTACGAAATATTTAATAGACTTAACCACTAAGCAGTCCAGCGTGGAAGATCTGCTGCAGCATCTAAATGTACGGATAGCATTAAGAAGAGTGAAATATACTGCGTTTTCTTATGATGAGTAAGAGAGTAAAAATGATTGACGGATCAAGAAATCGTTGGCGATGTTTAGGGATCTGCAAGTCAGTGGTGATAACGACAGACTCTATGTAAAGAGAAAAGCAGGAGGAAAGCTTTAACAGGATCCTGGTAACCGTTTGTAGTAGCGTAACAACTTAGAAGAAAACAAAAGAGGGAGCTGTGAGAACTTCATAAAGAAAAATGGAAAAGAAAAAAAAATCCACAAAGAGTTTAAAAGACAAAGCGAAAATTTCGCAGTTTGAGAGTTTTGCAAAAGACACCTAAAACGTGAAACGGGATGTCTTCCCGTTGCATTCCAAAAAAATAGAAACATAAATAATTATGTCAAAGAAAAAAAAAATAGATAAAGCTCAGAAAAAAAAAGTAATAAACGAAACTATAGACCAAGCATAAAAGAGAGAAGAAAGTTAAATCAAAGGTGATATAAAAGCAAGCATGGGTAGGAACTGTGTTACACTGAGAATTATGCAAACAAGAAGAGTTTGATCAGTTGTTGTGAGCACAAACGAAAAGCTGTTATGTAAAATAAGAAAGATTAAAGTTGGTGTTAAAGTTTACCATTCTGTCAATAATAAGGATGCAGTGGAACCTCGCTTCACGAAATTAATTATTTCTAAGAAGTCGTTCGAAATCCGGTTTGTTCGAAAATCCGAAACATTTTTCCTATAAGATTTAATCTGCGGCTTTGATCACATCTTTGTTCCTTAGTATCGTTCATATGATTGATTTCGGCATCCAAAAGGTTCACCGATAGATCAAAGCATTCCACATTCAGGCTTTTTTTAATTTAATTGCGGTGCTTACAGCTTTTCACTTAGGCTTTCTACTATCACTAACTTCCATCCAGGGGCTTTGGGGTGCATATAAAAATGAAGCAATATATAAAATTACAACAGAAACGAACATTAATGGAACGAACGTGCGCATCATCAACGGAAGCCGGTGCATCTGCTTGTTCGGGGCTTCTGCGGGTTGATCCGTGTTCATTCTGATGACGTCACTTTTCTCGAGAACCGAATTTCTGTTCGAAAACTGAGGCGTATTTTTCTCGAATAATTCGTTCCAGAACCGATTTGTTTGAGATAAGGAACGTGCAATAAACGAAGTTCCAATGTAATCTTAAAATAGTAAAACTTATCTTATTACTATATAAAACTCAGTGAACTGTGTGTCTTGTGTGTTTGCCAGAAGTCATAATTAGAGAGTGGGAAAAAGAAAGATATAGACAAGTCATATATAGAGAGTTGGGAAAAGAAAGATGTAAATTTATTAACATGTAGGAAGTGAGGGATAGAGTCGATTTTCTTACCAGAAAGTGTATAAAAACATGAAAACTGGCGCCAAACAGGATACGCACAGCTGTCATCAAGATCTACGCCACTCTCGTTTGTGAACTTCACGACCTTATACTAAAAGCGACAGCGCTGAAAACAAACTTCAAAGAGACCGTTTCCAACTACGGCAACACCGTCCCAGTAAGAAACAAATTCTATTTCTTGTATCCTCTTTACTATGAACCACGCACACAAATGTTGACTTTTTCACACAAATACACATATAACAATATTTCATTGTTTCTCACACACATACACAAAGAGAATTTATATTTTATTTCAGAATTTTATAAACCCAAACAAAAATACATTATTTTCAAATCTATGACCAATTGCTTGTATTCTTGTCGTTTAAATTAATGTTCATTTGTTGAAACTACTTTGTCTTTTCTACGAAATTTCATTCTTTCAAGGAAAATCGTTTGATTATTCTAAACGGCCGAATTACACGCAGACCCGCAACAATATTTTATATTATTTTATGAAATCCCAAAACTCCGAATTTTAACATTCCAAGTTATTATTGTTTGTGACACCATTTAAGGGCACAAAAAGAAAAAAGGAAAAAAAAAAGAAAGGAAAAGAGAGGCGAGACTTAAGCTTAGATGATAAAAGAAGCCACCCACGACCGGGGACATTGACAATGTTATTTTGATAAGTAGCAAATGGTGAAAGGTTTCATTACCATTGCAGAAAAATTCTAAATGGATAAAAAAATCGACTATGTTCTGGTGGCGGACTTGTGTTATCGGGGATAGATAACAGCCACTTAATGCTGGCGAACATCTAATTAACAAACCACAGGCCGGCTAGCTAAAACTCCGAGGCAATTCGACAATTTTATTTTGATAATGGAAAAGATGGTGAAAATTTCGACCACCAGTGTCGTAGAACTGTCTGACAAAGAACAGGTGAATACAGAGCTTTGGATAGATAAGAAAAATTAACTGTGTCAGAGGGGGCAAACAATATTGTCGGGAAAGGATTTAATAGGTCGTCTGCTAACCGCACACGAAGCCAACCCTGGGTCACGTCTTGGCCGTTTTGACAAGACATCTATGGGTGTTAGAATTCGGTTGTGATAATAAAACTATGTTATCAGAAATTGGCACCAAGAATGCAAATACGGCTAGTACAATGGAACTGTTTTTTCGAGACGACGGTCGACTGTGTTTCGCTAGACGACTACCCCACTTGATAATTGGCATTGATAGATCCCAGGTGACATTGGGGGATGAGAGCTGCGATTAAGGAAAGAAAAGGAAAAGAAAAAGATCATTTTTTTTTGAGCAAGATATATTTTTTTTTCCTAAAACAAAGCCAGCCGGATCACACCCACCCGGCTGGACGCTATTGGCCGAATGATAACGAGGGCCAGGCGGAGGTGATTACGTGACGCAAGGAGGGAAAGCCGCCGCCGCCCATTTAGAGGATAGGTATGAGAAGTTGCTACGAAGAAGTGGGGGGAACCGTTGACGCCCCTCTGAAATATGGTGAGATATCCTTATGAGAATAAGAGAAGGTGGGAGTAATAGAAGACTTCCAAAAAATGGAAAGGAGTGGAAAATTCTAACCAAAAATAAAAAGAAGTGGATATGGATTTAGAATTATCGAGGAACCTCCAACCCCGACAAACCCACCCCGGTTTTGGTCGGCGTCCATATAAGCAAAAATCAGTTCAGTTCAGTCGAGTTCAGTTCAGAAGAGTTCAGTCCAGAGTGCTCAGTTGAAGCAGGCCTCGCATCAGCTAAGATTCACGCAACTTCCGAACTCATCTTCAATCCAAGAACAATTTATTTTGAAGAGCGACTTAGATCCATACCAATAAGTTTTTCGACTATCGCCTGAAGACACACCAAGAACCAATTTCTTAAAGAACAGACAACTTAAGATGTTAAAACTCACCTAACAAAAACAACGTGTCACAATCCATATAGCGGGTCGGGAGATAGACGCAGTCCTATGTATCCAGCAACCAGATATAAAGTATTGTTATCCTTTTTTTCGATACTTTGAACTTTTGAGTTATCATTTTATTTTATTTTATGCATATTTGTGTGATACCACCCTCGTTTGAACTCAATTTGCATTACGGCCCCAACGACTGATTGATTTCGTCTGCTTAAGATCAATTCACAACGTGGGTAGGCGGACTAGAGATCAACGCAGTTACTTTGGTAACCAGACGTTGGAAGCGAGTTGGGAACGACGAGGCTGATATCGAATCTAACCAGATTCCCATCCGAATCACCAAAAGGTTAGAACGTCACATTTGGGTGCCGCGACCGATATCAAGCCAGTTGGTCGTCACAGGACGGGACAACACGACTGACGCAAACAGGCGGACGTCACGTTTGGAGCGGCGACACCCGAACGAAGCAGCGAGGGGCGAAGAAGGTTGTGGAGAGGGACGTCACAGTTCAACTTTCTTCATACAGACAATTTTTTTTTTAATGTTGAAACAACTTCAATAACTGCAAATAAATGTATTTTTAAAATATCTCTACTTTCACAAACACTTCATGAAACTAAATGTAAACAGCAAACACAACAAGGTTGACCAAACGGGTCACGGATGGGGGTCTAGTTATTATTATTATTGAAGGAGAGAACAGCACGCCCCCAAACACTCTCCCCACCAAGAATAAACGACGCTGGGTAACAAATATCCGAAGACCAATGTATCCATTATGAAACCTAGTCTTATAAGAGTATACCAAGCACATGGACTACAGCCAAATGTGTTTAATATGGTGATATGTTTTTGATAAACGCAGAGCATCACCTTGAAGGTGGGGCCTAGTTAGAAACATTTTCAGGTCGGGTAACGACTGTGAGTACAATTTTTTTTGTATTTCTTTAAGGGCTACTGGGAATTAATTCAGTGACTATATCGGAACTGTTTCTAATCAATCCGGGTGCTCCAATAACAACTGGAATTATTGATGTCTACGTATGCCACATTTTTGTTATTTCGACTTCAAGATTATTATTATTATTATTTTCTTTGATTTCTGGCATACACTCATTTCTTTCCTTCTTTCAGCCAGAGACCAAAGGTCAGAAATGGCATCATGACATTTTTCACTAAGCATTATTTCAGGAAAAAAGCAAAAAAAAAAAAAAAATATTATTATTATTATTATTATTATTATTATTTCTATAGAGCTTGGATGAAAAAGAATGACTTCAAGCTGAGATATAAAAGACAAATATCTAAATTCGGTCTGATACAAAACGTTTAACGCTAATTTTTATCAATTACTTGGAAGACAACTTTACAAAAAAATGGGTGATAACCATATTTCGGATAAGCGCAATCTGTCCAATTTGATTTTTTAATCTTTTATCAAAGTGGGTCATAGAGAGAAATGCTAAGTTGAATTTGTAAACATCGTCTGCTTGCTTGCATATGCGCGCGCAGAACACTTGTCGTTTGATCAACAATGCCTTTTCTGAGTGCCATTGACGATGTGAACTCGTGCCAAAATTTGTTAGGCACTCAGCTTGATTAATTCTTTGTCCAGCGAAGTTATTAATCGGTGTCGAGATAAAGGAGTTACCGAAGCATGATGACAACGATGACGCATTAAATAATTAACTGACCAATCATGTGTCTGCTTGTCTCTTTGCTAAGGTTTTCTTTTTCCACGTTTTTATAGGTGCCTCCAATAATTCGACGAAAAACGAGCATAACATGATGAAAAAACGTTATAAAACACATTTTTATCGTCAAAATGTTTATGTTATTATTAAGAAGAATGCACGTTCAAGATGTTGATTAAAAATCTTGTTTTTTCTTGCGTCAGTGGGGGAAATAAAGGTTAGTATATGGAATTTAGCGCTTTTTCTGGTAAGAAATATATTGATTTAGAAGTTCTTGCAAAAATGAAATAATTGT